AATACTGTAATATACATACACCCAGGTCAGATATGCTGCCTCCTCCTCCCCCGGAGACAGAGATAGATCCTGAAGGGTGGGGAACTACAGGTAGAGTAGAAGCGGTGAGAGCCGCCCTGGTACAAACACATCTCAAGACCCTACTGCTTTTCCTCACCAGAGACAAAACCCTCTAAAGCCTGAAGTGAAGAGAACAACGTAGGGACACAGGGCTGACCCAAACATTGGAGCCAGCCCTGCAACACTCCGATCTTGGGAATTCAAAACCCAATGGGGAGTGGAGGTTGGCACAGGACCTTAGACTGATGCACGAGGCAGCAGGGCCAAGCCACCCAGTGGCACCTGTCCCGTACACGCTCCCTTCTCAGATCCCACAGGATGCCTTTTTGGTCTTCAGTGTTAGATTTAAGAGATTCTCTCGTTTGCATTCTCTCCATACAGAGTCCCAGTTTCTTTTGGCCTTTGAGAATCCCTATGGCCAGGCTTCTCAGCACCTGGACTGTGCTTCCTCCAGGATTCAGGGACAGTCCCCATCTTCAGGGACAAGTGCTAACCAACACACCACTGTGTGTCTCTCAGGAGAGCTCTGCCTGTGCTGGCTGGATTTTCTAGCAGAGAGAGGTCACAAGGGCTCTATGTCTAAGGCACAACTTCACAGCCTTGAGGTAAAATGCTTGGGCCCTATCGCATCTAAGGGAACCTGAGGCTGGGAGAAGAGGGACCTAAACCAGTTAGTTCCTTCCCGTAGCCCAAGGCCCTAAAACAGCCAAGGGGACTCAGAGGAAATCACAAGATTTTGTTGCCTTTGGACAGCAGGGGGTATGGTGAGGCCGCAGGACTGAGCCTCTGTTAACAGAAAGGAAGCCTAAAACGTAGCCAACCATATTTTTTAACCTGGGAGACCGATTCTCAGATTGAATTCCAGCTGGTGAGGTGGTGCCTGGCCGTAATCCCGGGACCTAGGAGGCTGAGACAGAAGGACCACTGTGAGTTTGAGGCCAGCCTGGGCTACGCAGGGAGTCCAAGGCCAACCTGAACTACATAAGGAGACCCTGTCGCAAAAATAAATAAATATACTGAGGCTGGGGATTTAGCTCAGCAGCACAGCACCTGCCAGGCAAATGGGAGGTCATGAGTTCAATTCGTGGTACCAGAAAAAACAAGAACAAAAAAACCCTTGCGGGGGGCCGGGGAGATGGCTCAGTGGAATAAGCGCTTCCCTGGCAAGTGCAAGGGCCTGAGTTCAATCCCTGGTTCTGCAAAAAAAAAAAAAAAAAAAAAAACACCAAAACCCTTGCATTTCAGAAGCACTGCTTCTGTAAAGCCCCAGAACTGAACCTCCCGACAGGACGCTGCTTCAATAAAGGCAGGGCTTGGCCTTGAGAGCGCTCACAGAGCGCTGAGGATCTGCTCCACACCTGCGCGGTACTGGAGTCACAAACCTGATCCTGTGGCCCGGGGATGGTCCACGCGCCTTAGTGCTGCGGCTGCCTTAGCTCCCCGGTACCAGGGTCATCCAGCTGACTTTGGACAAAGATCTCTGCACACACGCCTCCCAGTGTCACAGGGCTTGTTTACCCCACAGGGAGCTCATGGCCATCAGACACCCGACTTCTTCTCTAACAGGTGCTGCTTGTGAGAAGGACCAACCATTCGAATAAAGTCATGCTCCTCCTTAAGCCCTGCCATCTTTCTACCAGCAAAGGAAGAAACTGAGGCTGAGAGACATGACTGCAAACAGGTAACTCAGCGGAGGAGGTGGGCGAGGCCCTGCCTTGACCCTGCTCCGTGACGGCAGTTCCTTCATGAAAAATGGAACAAGAGAGACGGGTAGGTGGCAGTGGCTGCATCAGCTCTGAGCAGCGCTTGGCAACTCGGTGAAGGACAGACAGTCAGCATTCATGCTGATGGCTGTAGGACCCCGTAGGGGAAAGGCCCCTCGTGCTGGGAACAGAGGACTCACTCCTCCTCACCTTGGCCTCGCTACTGCATACACGGGATGGGCTCGCCTGAGCAGCGTACCCACACTGTGACCACAGGTGGGGACTGGCTAGCAACGGATCATCCTACTCACCTGAGATTAGACGGGAGCCCCCAGGGGCACTTGCTGGCCCTGTGGAACAGATCTGTGGCCCTGCCTACCCCCCTCGGATGGTAGGGAGATGCGCGCTGGGACTTGTGTGGTTACAAGGCGGGAACGTCCACAGCATCGACAAGCCAGCGAACTGACCTCTTCCGAGGCCCCAATGGCCTAGCAGTGTGTCTCGCTGGTGTGACCACTCACCTTCTATCTTCGTGCCTTCCTTAGGGTTAGAGGATGTCATGCAACGTGCCCAGGCCTTGCCTAACGATATGCAGCCGGCCTTAGAGGGAGCGTTGACTGGTGCTCTCCCTCCAGGATGGAGAGGCAAGCCATCCTCCAAAATGGGATGGCACGGGACATCCTCACAGCAGCGTCAGGGCACTGGCGTGGGTGTAACAGCTGACTGCTCTGGGAACATTCCTGGTCCTTCAGCTAAAATCTCAGGGGCCCTTCAAGACGTTAGACCACAGTGGCCGCGGAGACAGCTCAGCGGTCTAAGTGCCTGCCTAGGGGAGTGCAAGGACCTGGGTTCGTAGCGGCACACACCCACAATCCCAGAACTGGGGAGGCTGAAATGGGGGTCACTATGAGTCCGAGCTGCATGGTGAGACCCTATACCAACTGCATAAAAGTAAAAATTTTAAAAAAGGGGCCGGGGAAATGGCTCAGTGGAATAAGTGCTTCCCTGGCAAGCGCAAGGGCCTGAGTTCAATCCCCGGTTCCGCAAAATAAATAAATAAGATATTAGACAACAGCTTAATGCCAAGTGAGATTCTGAAATCTCCTGGACCTTCTCCTTACCTTCTTTGTGGAAGGCTATGACTAGCTCTGAACATTTGTTGGCTGTATTCACGATAGTGTTACTGATCTTATTGTTTGGCCCATGCACACTAAACCGTTTCTTTGGCCTTATCTCCTTCAGACTTAAAGCCATCCGCCTACGCAAGACCGGAACACCTGGCGTCTATGGAGGGCCTTTAGGTAGACCCTGCATGGAGCACCTGACCGCAGCTACGACCCCCCTTCACGCCGAAGTAGCCAGAACAGTCATCTCCTCTCACCCTCCACAGGACTCAGGAATACCTCCTCAGGGAGCAGAATGTTACAGACAGCTCAGTTAGGTAGAGATAGTCTCGGCAGTCAGGCAGGGCTGGACCCTTGAGGGACTCGGCGCAGAGGATGAGGACACGTCACCACCGTGGCCAGAGGCGCATCCGGACGAGGCCAGAGCTCAGCATAACGACGGAAGGACCAGGCCTGCTGGCCTCCCCAGAAGAAGCAACGCACTAGCACTGGTATCGCCTGGGCCAGTAAGTCTAGCCCAGTCTAGCATCGGTCCACCCAGGCGGTGACCAGGACCTCCCAACTCATCTCTCCAGAAAGGGCCGCTGGCCTTGCCACAGGCGCCTGCTGCGTGACTGCTTCCCCGCGGGCTCCACCTTACCTGCGTGGCCACCACTGGTGTCCTGTTGGTTGATCACAGTGTAGTACCCACCTGGTGATGCTGCTCTGTAAAATTTCCTATGACAAGTGGTATCCCTGGAGACCCACTTGGGCACCCCATGCCTCTCAGGAGCTCTGTCTCTCAGAAATTACTTCCTACTCTGAACCTCCTTTGTTCCTTAGCATTCATTCCTTGATTTTGGGAAACAGGAACTTGGTGTGCCAGACATCCGGGAGTTGGAACATTTCTCCTATATCGTGTGCAGGTCCTGATATCATGTGGCGGTCCTAGGTCAATTGCCCCCTGGCGAGGTGGACACTCAAGGGGGAACATGCCATGGTCACGGGCAGCCTGCTGGATAGGCCACACGGGACGCACCCAGGGCAGAGGCCCCCAGACCCTGCAGTGTGAGCCTGCCCGTGACTCAGGTTATCCCCAGGAGCTCCGAGAGAGAGAGAGAGAGAGAAAGAGAGAGAGAGAGAGAGAGAGAGAGAGAGAGAGAGAGAGAGAGAGAGAGTTGAAGTGTTTTTAAGATCCTGAGGATGGAAGCCAGGCCTATGTGTGCTTGTGCTCTAGGCAAGGGCTATACTAATGAGCCCCACCTCCGGCCCTTTCTAAATGTTTACGGCAGGATCTCACTAAATCATCCAGGCTAGCCTGGTCCTCCTGCCTCAACTTCCCCAGCTGCTGGGATGCCAGGCTGTGTGCAGCCCAACCACTTCTGTTTTTGTAATCTCCATCTTACAGAGGGAGCTAGGGTTCCCAGTGGGGACTCAAGGACTCAGGTCCCTGGAGAAGGCCAGGCCTCAGGACCAGAAGGCCAAACCTGTGACCCATTTACCATAATAAAATCTGCAGTTTCCCTGGGGCAAGGCAGTGGGGAGGCAGGGCTGCAGGTAAAAGAATCTGTGCTTCTCAGGTTCTCGACACCGGAGCCCAGTGGACACTGCAGCCAGGAGAGGCCAGTGAGGGGACAGGGCAGTTTGGAGGACCCTAGGGTTTGGGCCACCCCTCACCCAGGTACCTTAGAGCTGGGCAGGCGGTACCTGCACACCCACCTGGCTCTCCCACTTGGCAGGGCCTGGGGACAGGGTTGGGGCCTCCCACACTTTGCTCCTGTCTTGTCCCCTTGGTGTCCCCCAAGGCAGGACTCTGGGGATGGGGCTAGGGACCCAGGAGCCCTGGGCAGGAGGTGCCGCCCAGGCCCTGGGTCCCTCCAGGTCCCCCAGTCCCTCTGCGGAATCCGTGTCTCCCTCTTCATCTGCATTCCTGACAGTCCTCCTCTCCCTCCCTGAGGACCTAGCCTGGCCACCGCTGAACAAAGCGGCTGAGGCGGACGTGGCAGGGCCCCCGGCCCCCCACCCCCATGCAGTGCCCAGACTCCCTGGGCCCCAGCTGCCCTGTCCCCTCTGTGGGTCTCAGTGTCCTGTGCTCAGGGTCCCCATTCCCCAGCCCCTTGTCCCGCAGCCCCACCTGTGTCCATGGCGCTCGGCCCTGTCCTGCCGTCTCAGGTGTCCCGGCGTTGCCGCCTGGTTAATAATTCACCCCTGTTTGTCTACAGCCGCGTCTGCAGGTCGGATGCCTGGTTTGGCGGGATCCTGGGCACCACAGAACAGAACAGCGCCAACTGGAGACCAGCAGGGCCTCCCTGAGCTGGGCACCCTGGGCGCCGGGGGAGGGGCAATGCCTTGGCCCCAGGGAACAGGAAGGCTGATGGTGACGAGGAGGGGCGTCTGTGACAGGCAAGCAGGGTCCCGTGGCTGCATCCTCGTGCTTATGGCTGCACCCCACACTAGGAAGGTGCAAACGTCCGTCCTCCTGTGGCATTTCTACAACATGGAACAGTATGCCTGCTGCGCACGGCCGTGCACACCTGTAAGCCTAGGACGTCGCAGGCGGAGGCAGGAAGGCTGCCACACGTTCAAGGCCAGCCTGGCCTAGATAGCGAGGCCATGTCTCTCTTTCTTTCTTCCTTTCTTTCTTTTTGTGGAACCGGGGATAGAACTCGAGCCTTTGCTCTTGCCAGGGAAGCATTATTCTACTGAGCCATCTCCCCGGCCCCGAGGGCATCTCTTTAAAATAAATAAGTAAACAAATAAGCTGCATGGGCCAGGCAGGTGCCATACACCTAAGCCCAGCACTGGAAAGACTGAGGTGGGCAGGTTGCCAGGAATTTGAGTCCAGCCTGGACTAAAAAGCAAGACCCCCCAAAATCATAAAACATGATGAATGTGATCACTATGCATATCTAAGATTTACCAATAAATGTAATAGATTTAAAAAAGCAAGCAAACAAAGCCCCCAAATCAATCAATCAATCAATCAAATAATCAAACAGGTGCACAAGCTTTCCCTGAAATCTAGCAAGGTACAGACTCAAGTAGGGGCCGATGGGGTCACCCCGAAGTGCCAGGGAGACACATGTGACACATCCCTGGGCAGTCCTGGCCACTGACAACCAGCAGGAGGTGGGGGTGGGGTGGCATTTGTGTCCCCAGACAGGGAGAGGACAGGAAGCCTGCAGTTGTGAGGCCAGGCGAGGGATAAAAGATGAAGAGACAGAACCCGCATGGCTCACAGGAGGTGCTGGGGATGCAGACCTGACCAGGGCAGCCACGCCGGGGAAGGGGGACATGCCTCGCCGGGGAAGGGGGGACGTGCCTCGCCAGAGCCCTGCCCACATGGGGCACAGACTGAGCTGCTCCTCGCAGTCCGGAGACCCTGTGCTATTTTTTATTTGGTTTTGTTTATTGAAACAGGGTCTTGATGTGTAGTTCAGGCTGGCCTCAAACTCGTGGAGGGGGGCTGGTGAGATGGCTCAGTGGTCTAAAGCACCTACTTAGAACAAGCTAAGCAAAGCACAGGGACTGTAGTTCAATCCCCCAGCACCACATGCCAGCCAGCCCCGCCCCCTGGTGGGCTGAGCTAGCCACACACACACACACACACACACACACACACACAAAAATAAAAAAAAAAAAAAAACAAACAAACAAGCAAAAAAAACTCGTGGAGGTCTTCCTGCCTCGGTGTCCCATCATGGGACGACAGGCATGCTTCACCACATTTGGCCCAGAAAATCCTACACTAGAAACTGACATTAAAAATAAAATGAGGGGAGTTGGGGAGATGGCTCAGTAGAGTAAGCGCTTGCCTGGCAAGCACAAGGACCTGAGTTCAATCCCTGTTTTTGCAAAAAATAAATAAAAATAAATAAATAAATAAATAAATAAAAGGAGACTGGTGTGGTGATGCATGTCTGTAACCCCACGTACTCAGGAAGCTGAGCTTTGAGTATGGCCTGAGCTCCATACTGAGTTCAAAGCCAGCCTAGGCTGCATAGTGAGACCCTGTCTCAAAAAGAAAAACAAAACAAAACAAAAAAAGAACATAGGAAATCACCCAGGCAAGGTGAACCGTGGCTGTAGCCTCTGCACAGTGGGAGCCTGAGGCAGGAGGCTCCCAATTGCAAGCTCACACTGGAAAACTAGTGATTTACTGAGACCAGATCTCAACATCAAAAATAATAAAGATCTGGGGACGGAGCTCCTGTGATGGCCCTGGGTTCAATCTGCAGTTCTACAAGAAAGAGACAGGAAATAGGAAGACGGTACAATAAACAGCCTGCAGTGAGCAGCTGCGGGCAGACAAGGCATCAGGGCATCAGAAGCCCAGTTCACTCCACGGGGGGCACCTCGAGGCACAGACCTTACTTTGGGATCCAGGAAAGAGGCAGAGTGATGCCTGCACTAGTCAGGGCCTCAGCAAGGTGAATCTGAACCCCATGTCACTCATGCCTGGCTCCTGGCCCACCGCAGGTCCTTCAGCATAGGGGACAGCTCGGGGGCCCGGGGGCCCGCAGGCCACCCCGGCGGCTCCAGCTCCCTTCACGGGGCTCCCTGGTTGCGGGGCTCAAGAGGCCAAGCAGGACCCTGTCCTGATGAGAGTACTGGAACAGCCTCACATGCCAGCGTCAGCACGGGCCAGGGTAGGCGGGGGTGGGCAGCATTCTGCCCTTGGGCACGTTTTGGGGACAGGTGATAGGGCCACCCCACTCCTCTCTCTGACTCAGGTCAGCCCTAGGGCTGGGGAGTCTGCGGACACCCCGGTGCCTTCTGGGCATGCACTGCCAGCCGAACCCAGCCTCCTCTGATGGCACCACCTGCCCTGATGGGGGGATGGGTGGGGACTGGGAGCCACGAGGCAAGCGCTCCAGAGAGGTGCGCTGGGAACTTGGACTGCCCGGGAGGAGGACAGTGGCCTCAAGAGCACGTGGGGGTCGGGGTGCGGACAGGAGCAGGAATCAGGCCCCGGAGGGCACAAGGCTGCGGAGCAGAGGCCGGAGGAGACCCTCCCGCCTCGTCCTCCGGGCCAACTGCC